ATAGAAAGACAATTTCTTAGAAAACTTGTTTATATTTTGTTAAAATAAATTCCTCTTGATTATTAATAATAATTAAAAAATATAATAAGAATATTAATAACTTTCTTATACAAACTGATTTAAAGAAAGAAATAATTTTATCATATGTAAAACATATTGAAATATATAATACATGATAGAAATTCAAAACCAAAAAATGAATTTATATTAATGCAAACTAATATTGAAATGAATTTTGAATTTCAATCATTAAACAATAAAATTTAATCATGATATAATTAATACCCATGATATAGATTGATTTTAGTTTTCAATACAAAAACAAATGGTATATACAAAGAATTTTAAGAAAATAAATTACATCGGATATATATACAAGTAGGAGAATACTGTTTATCATAATCTATTCAAATCATTTAATTTTTATATAGAATAATTTATTAGATTTTATTATAGTAGTTATTTTTTGAATAACAAGATTTTTGAACTAATTGTAAATGATTTACTTCAAATATATAAAACACATATAGATAATATAATATAATGTAATATAATACATATATAATTAAATTGTATATCTTATCAATGTTAATTAAAAAATAAATTTAAAAAATATTTATTAAAAATTATTTATGATTTAAAATTCAAAATTAGCGTCGTTAGAAATTAAAATTATATTAAAAATGTTTTTTTAAAAAATAAAACATTATAAAAAAATAGTAAAACAAATATTTAAAAATTATTTTTTCATTAAAATAGTTATGATTAAAATTATCATATAGTATATTTTTAGTTTTTAATAATATATATGTATATATAATTGTTTGTGTAAAATAATATTATATATATATATATATATATTTAATTTTACATAATAAGTCAACAGGTTCATTGCAGCTCAACTACGCATGCAGAGAGGAGGTCTTGGGTTCAAGCTAGTGAGAAGTCACTTTTTGAGGAGGGAATTATGTGGTGGCGACACGTGGCAGGCAGAGGTGGGGTGGCATCACACGTGGCAGGCAGAGAGGTGAGGTGGAAGCACACGTGGCAGACAGAGATGTGAGGTGGCAGCACACGTGGAGGTGGTCCCCAGTGATGACATGGCAATTGGTAGAGGTGCCATGTCGCATTTTATTTTATTTTTAAAAAAATCGGGTTAGTGACGGATTAGGAACGGAAATTCCGTCGCTAAATTTCCATCGGTAATTAGCGACGGAACAAATTCCATCGCTAATTCCGTTGTTAATCTGTTTCCGTCACTAATCCGTCGCTAAATAAAAAATTCCGTTGCTAAAAGCATTTTTTTTTGTAGTGTTGTATTACAAAGTTAATAGCTAGGCTGGATAGGGTGTAACATCCTAAATTTTATCGGGTTTTAATAGCCTCTTTTGGGTTGATTTTGAGGATAGATTAGTGATTTAATCTTGATCTTGGTGTTTGGGTTGAATTTGAGGTTTGTTGGAGGAATAGGTGAACGTACCCCTCTTAGGGTATGTTTGCCGCGGCGCACCGGGAGTTTCAGAGGGGAGTGTCTTCTCGGGAAGGTTTGGCCGCGGTGAAGTTGTTCTGGTGAGCGAGGCTTCCCTTTCGGGAAGGTTTCGCCGCGGCGAAGGTAAGGGCATGCCGCGGCGAAATTCTTCTGGGCGAGTGAGAGTTTCCTCTCGGGAAGCTTTCGCCGCGGCGAAGATTGGAGTTCGCCGCGGCGAAGTCGGGTTTTTAGGCGAGTAATCCCTCTCGAGATTAGTTCGCCGCGGCGAAGATTGGGGTTCGCCACGGCGAAAGGTCCCGAATCTATATAGTCGCGGGAGGGTTCAGCGTGCGAAAATAAGAAAATCTGAAGGAGGAGAGAGGAGCTCTGCTAGGGTTTCGAACTTTTGGCTTGGAGGGGGCATTTCTAAGGATCCATTACCTCAAGTAAGTGATTTTAACCTCTAATCTTCTTTCTTTCTTGAAATTTCTTGGAATTTCTGAGGATTTTTGGTGGAACCCTAGGATTTTCTAAGTTGTGATGGAATTGAGGTTTTTGACCGATTGTTTTGAGTTTAATTGATTGCTTGGGGTTAGTTTAAGTATTTAATCGGTGTAGTTTCCTTGGATTTAAAGAATCTTGAATTTTTGGAGTTAGGGTTTATGGAGATAGATGATTTGGGATTGAGGATAATAATGTAGAGATTGATTTTGAGTTTTGTGAATTGGGTTATGTTAAGGAGGGTTAAATTGGATGTTTAATTGGTTTAGATTTGTTGTTGGAACCTTAATTGCTCAAATGGGATGTTGGAGGTTGAATTCCTACAGTGGGTCCTTGAGGTTTGAACTCTAATTGATGTTTGGAAAGGAATTAAGGTTTTAATGGGTTAGTATGACTTTGGAGTGTTGCCTTGATAGTTATACCCTTTGAGTTGGGTAGAGTTTTGATGGGAGATAGGAATTTTGTGTCCCCAAGTGTTGTTTTGGCCACATTATTAGTTTGAAAGCTAATATATGATGGTTGTGTGTTTGTGTGCTTGTGTAGACCGGTTGTGAGTCGTGGTGGTGCACGGGGCCACATTGTCGGTTTGTTATTCCTTGCTTAGGCGAGAGGTAACCACTTTCCAATCCTTAGTACTTGCTTCTGTGGTTTTGTGAGTAGATTTATATTTGTGCTCTAAGTAGTAATTATGTTCAAACTGTATGTTGTGTATAAAAAGGAAAACCGTTTTGTGGGGTTTTGACTAATGATGAATGAATTTTGGAATTGTGAAAGATATGCCACTGAATGAGGTTAATTGTGAAATGATTATTACTCTGTGATTACGATTTGAGCATGATGCATTAATTGGGAATTGGTGAGAGTTTTGTCTGTTACTACCACGTGGTAAAGCCTCCATTAATGCATGATGGTTGGCTTAGTACGTCCCCCATAGTGAGGGATAGGCCTTTTGGCTCCCTACGTCCCCCAGAGTGAGTGATAGGCCTTTTATGGCTCCTTACGTCCCCCATAGTGAGGGATAGGCCGGTTTCGGCTCCTGAAAATCCCCCAAAGTGAGGGATTTGGTTAAGGGGATTTGCATCATTTCACTCGCATGATTTATTGTGGCTATCTTGTTATTATATTACTTGTGAACTGCCCCACTTGACACCTCACGAGCACCTATTTAGTAGTACCTAGTATTGGAAAGGTTGGTTACTGAGACTTTGTCTCACCCCGTGGTTTACAATGTTTTTAGGTGAAGGTTCCGGGCGTGGGCCATCGGGAAGAGACGTAGAGGCTTGAGCTTGGTTAGCTTTAGGCCTCTAGCATTTGTACATGTATGACTAGTATATATTGCCACAGTTAGGACTACTTTTTGATATATTTGAGTACCCAGCCTTGTTGTAAACTGGAGAGAATGTATCTCCTTATTTTGGTTGGCCGGAGGCCATTGCTAGTGTTTTATGAACTCTTGATTATTTGGTTGGGAATCATTTAGATGGGCTGATGTGATGTTTGTTATTACCCGGGCCGGAGGCTCGGAGGCCCAATAGATGTAAATGAATGATTTCAGTTGCATGTAACGGTTTAAATGTGAATTCAAAATTATGCAAATTTCTTCCTACTATGGTAGTTCATTTAACAGATTTTCCTTTTCTACCATAGTAGTGACTTTGTGATGAGTTCTAACGTTTTTAAGGTAAAGGGTTTTTACAAATTGGTATTCAGAGCCAGTTTGTTTCTTTGAAATTCTTTCTTTTCCTAGTGGCAATATACATACTTCATACATACCTTCCCTGTTTGTTTTGTGTTTCCTTTCTTTCTTTACTAATGAGGGTTTCCATCCTTAATTGGGGAGAGGAAGGATGGTACGGACACGTCAAACAGATCCAGCCGGTAATGGACCGCCTCAAGAGAATGAGGCTTTTCTGAGACAAATGAGGGAGATGATGACGGCGGTGGTGGATGAAAGGTTGAGGAAGTTTGAAGAAGATTTCACGAGGAAGCACCAAGAGTCGGTCAATCAAGAGGACCGAGAGAATGAGGTGACTATGGAGGCACGAGGAGTAGGAGAAAGAGGGGTTAGGAGCGGTGATCGAGCTGGAGATTTACCTCAGAGGGAGGAGTATCGAGCGGCTAGCCAGGGAGGAGATACTTCAGAGGGAGTGATTTACCCTCCGTTGCTGAATGACATCACCAAGGTATGGAGAGAGGTGCATCGTCATGATCCTCCCCAGTTCAAGGGAAGTTTGGAACCATCAGATGCAGAGAAGTGGATTGAGCGGATGGAGACAATCTTTACTGCTGTTCCTTGTCTTTCCCCGCTCAAGGTACAAGTGGCGGTTACCTATCTGGTGGAGCAAGCAAGGCACTGGTGGGATAGTGCAAGACCTTCTGATATATCTCAGTTGGACTGGGATACCTTCAAGCGGATGTTTTATGATCACTTCTTTCCGAAGGAGTTGCGAATGGAAAAGCAATTCCTGTTCTACTCCTTGAAGCAGGGCGAGATGCATGAGGACCAGTTTATCACAAGGTTTATAGATTTGGCAAAGTATGTGCCCAGGCAGACGGAAGATCATTCACTCTGGTTAGCTCAACAACTGATGAACCGTGCAAGGCCGGAGTTGAAACAGCAGTTGGCCTTGTTAGAGGTCAAGACCTTTGAGGAGATGTGTGTGAAGCTGCGGGTTGCAGCTAGAAGGACAAGAGAGGTGGTAGAGGCAAGGAGGGCTGAGAATCAAGCTAGAGCGGCCCGTTATCCTGGACCTACAGGAGGAGTGGGGAAGAGGAGTCAATACAGCTCTGGGAGCTCGAGTAGCTCAGGGAGAAACAGGAACCAAGGGCAAAATCAGAGGGCGAATGCTCAGAGGGGCTTTATGCAGAGGCGCCAGAATCCAAACAATCAGACTGGCGGGGGACTTTATGCGTGCGGGCGCGCGCGCGTGCGTGCGTGCGTATTTTCTAGTTGGAACTCCGCATCTGACCCTGGTGACCCTATGTTGACATTTTATGGAGAAGTCATCATTAGGTTGAAGAAGTTGTGAAAATGACGGACATTGACCTTGGAAATGGATGGATAATTCATGAACACTGCAAGGTGGATATGCTATTCCTTTACTTGGCTACTTGTTTAGCTTGCCAAACTTGTCTGTAATTAGATGAAACTAGTCCACGAAAGTGGCTTCCATATACGTTTTGTTGGTTTTGTTCCTTAGATTAATTCAGTGACCTAACATTTGCAGGTTTATCTGTTCACTTCCCCACAAAGGATTGTTGGATGCCTTGTTGCTGAAGCAATCAAAGAGGTGTCCAAAGTTATCTCTTGCTCAAGTGCTGGAAATTCTGATGGCAGTAGTAAAAATGAACAATTCCATTTTTACCCACTCTCCAATTTGACGATATAATTTTTTGAAGAGAAGTTGAAAAAAGAGCCTCCTCTGTGAATGAATCTGCAGGATTAGACACCGCCCATGGTGGGGCAATATTCTGTGAAGACAAAGCAGTCACTGCAGTTTGCGGCATTAGAGCCATATGGATGCCTTCCTCCAACAGAAGAAAACGCATTGCCCGCCAATTGCTAGATGCTGTGAGGTAGATGATGCAACACACATTCACACACACTTCTAATGCAAACAGAAGATAACTTGGGGAAGGGTCACGGAAACAGAGAGGGAGATATGGGGAAACAGAACAGAAATGATTGGAGAGGAGGAGAGACGGAACGTAAGAGGTTGATTTGGCAGAGAAATAAAGGGAGAGATAAAACCAGAAGGAGGGGGAATATGAAGAACTTGAGGAGGATATGAAGGGAGAAGAGACAGAAAATGAGGGGGATAGAGACTAGTTGAACCATATCAAAATTCATTTCATTATCATCGCAAGTGTCACCTATGTCCTCAAACGGATGATTGGTAAACTCACGAGAGGGTGATCTACTGTGCCTATCACCGTTAACTCCACAAGATTGACCAATCCTAGGAGAGTAAACACTAGATTGATTAGGGACAGGGGATCGCTCATTCCTAAAGCTAGAATCTCCTCTTCCTATTGGTCTTTCTAGTAACCCTTCTGTCACCTTTCCTGTATTTTGTCTGTCAACAGAATTGCGCTCATGAGTTCTTCAAATTTACTATTCAATGTGTCTGTAATCAATCATGAATTGTGACAAACAAAAAATCATAAATTCACTGTCTAGTGACGGATTGAATGTTCAACTGAAAGCTATTCATGATTGACAATTTCTTATACTTGAAGCAAATGTAGAAAATTATGTAACTGGAGCTTTATCACTTGTTGCATTGAGTTAAAGTTAAACAATTGTTATTCCTCAATTAATGGTCAACTTAAACAACAGGTTCGGTTCATGGATTTTCTTTCCTTTTGCCGCATTTCACTCAAAGGTTTAAAGGGAGATAGTTCATCAAGCTATTCGCAATGGCTAACTTGATCATCTTTTCCAAGGATCCCAGATGAGGAAACCCAAGGGGAGCCACCGTCTAACTCTCCCGTAATTTTAAATTTGAAATTTGTGGCAGGAAAAGTTTCTACATGGGTTTCGTGCTTGAGCATTCTCAGTTAGCATTCTCTCAGCTAACAACGGCAGGAATGGCGTTAGCATCAGGCCACACTGGCAGTTGATCATTCTTGGTGTGTAGGGCCGACAAAGCGGGGTCATAAATATTCAAAATGCCAAGCCACTTGATTACTATATGCAATTATGGATGTTGTAATTATTACATGATGTTAATTATAGTGCTGATTAACATATAAAACCTTGAATAGTTTTGAGGATATTTTTTTTCCATTAAAATTTTTTCCATGATACTACCTCCTCCGGTTCTTAATATAAAAACTAGTTTGATTTTTAATTTGATTTTAAACATACTGTGTTTCATATTTATCTATTTTTCAAAATAATCATTATATTAGTTACTCATGTTAAAAATTCTATCAAATAATAGTTTTAACTAATACACATAATTAACAAAAATATTTTATAAGAAACAACACCTATTTATTATAAATAACTAACTTAACTAATTTTTTTAATTTTCTAAGCTAGTCATCTAAATCTTATACTAAAAACTAAATATACTATCAAAGAGTGATGCCGTGATTCTTTATTTTATTTTTTATCGTGACTAGTACTTTAGATGCGATTCTCACTTTTCCGTTCACTTTAATGAAGCACACTGCTCGAAATCTTTCATCCATGGTGGAGACGATGCTTCATTCACGACGGACTTTTGGGAGTTTTGTCCAATATAAAACGAGTGACAAGTGATAACCATGAGGCATTGTCCTTCAAAGCTTGGAGACGTCAGACGCATGCCAAAATCCTTTAACAATCTTATTGAACATCAAGTTGATATGCCTGAACATTTTCTAACGGTTATGACGCAGTAAATTCCTTCACCTACGGGCTACGGGAGATTTCATCTACACTTTTAGCCATAGATAGTTAACCATATCAAATAATATTATGTCCAGGAGAACCGACTAGATATTATCAAAACCATTGCTCCAAAATCATATCATCCGCGGTAATGATAAACAAAAATGATACATTTGAATCATAGTTTTAAGCCTTAAAGATGTACAAGACAAGATTAAGTGAATGCCATAAAACCCAAAAAAAAACAAAATCAGTAATGCCATAATCACTCTTCCATCGGACGGTTTTCCTCAGCTTGCTGTTGTGAAACTTGAACTTTGATCTTTGGCAAAGTGAGAGATGGATCCTGTTGAAGCACAGATGGAGCTTTCACCAAATTGATGCCCTGCTCCAACTCCCTTGCAGCCTCCTTGAGGAGCTTAGCCTTGTTGCCTTTCATTCTACAAGAAAATCCAAAGAAAGTCAGCAAAAGGAAAAGGTTCTGAGGCACTTCAATATAAAATAACAGTGAATCAACCAGTTACCTATTCTTGTGGTGTCTCTCCTCCCTGCTAACTCTGATCTTGTCAATCTTTGGAATAGCCTTGAGAACATCTTCCGCAAGATTCCGATCATATCTTTCAGGTCTGTTTCGCTTTCTCTCAAACTCAAAGGTTGAATCCTAACGAAACAAATAATGGTGCTGGAGTTTCTAGGAAACAGGAGACATAATATACAAACAAGATAGCTGGGAAAGCATGTTGCTTTTACCTGTGTCATATCCTTTCCATGCAATCGACGATATGCCTTGGTCCATTTTACTTTACGAGGATTCCTCTTCATTTTAAAGTTCTTGTGGCATTTAGATCTACAAAATCGAAAAATCTGCAGAGAGCAGCCACTATTCAGTAACTCAATGCCAAGGCCACAGGTGCCATGTAAATTTAGCCTGTGATGGCACCCAAACTTGTTACTCCTAAGTTTTTTTTTTTTTTTTGGGGGGGGGGGGGGGGGGGGGAGGTCTCTTTCTTTAGGAAAAACTTGTGGCCTATTAGCTTCATTGCAATAGACTCAACCATCATTTTTTTCCCATATGACGTATGTGATCAACATAATTGAGCCAAGCATGAGATATAAATCTAACATGTCTTTTGCATTACAAAGAGAAGCAATTAGACGGCCAATTTGCCCTGGTATTCAGTGAGGAACCAGGTACACACTATGCACAGAAGTGAATAGGAAAAAAGTTCAAACTTCTCAAAGCTAAGAGGATTACAGATTTAGAAAATAGCTATCTATTAAGAGCCTCAATTTCAAATAGACATCCACATCCACCTAATCCAAGAAAAGCAGTCGATTCAAATAACTTTCAATACCTTTTAAACAAATGGAACAGCAAAAATATGGGAGAAACATCTACAATAGAATTAGGGGAATATAAATAGTATACCTTTGCATCATTACGAACAAACTGAATTCCATGTCCAGGGTATATGGTCGAAGAGCAAAACCAGCATTTCTCCAATCTCATTGTGCCCTGAGACTAGAGAAGCACTTCTACTGAATGACAACAATATGAAACACAAGAACAATAAGTCATAAGAAAGGTAGAGGGAAAAAAAACACATTTATCAATTGCTATCAGCAACATATGACAACTATTAGCCGTAAATATGGGCCAGGCTGGGAACAAGTTCACTCAAGCTGATAAGCATGTCAGTAAAACCGGTCCTAAAGGGACACAGTTAGGCTAAACAGGGTGGGCAGCTTGCTGGGTTTATTTTTAACCTTTCCTAACAAAAACTCTGCACCTTTATTTTCAAGATTTCTGGACGACAAACAGGTTGTAAATGCAATTGGCGACAAATAGTTTGCTTCCTTGAACCAAATATAATCAACTTGACGAACTACTAATACTAGAAAAACTCACACACACAGGCACACACAGAGATTATATATCAAAATCATATTGCTTCTGTATGTATTTCACATTTTCAACAGAAACAAAAAAGAGGACCCAAATCAAAAGAGGAGCCAAATGATATTCAAATTACTTCTGTACAAAATCTATATATTTTACTTCAGATTTTCGGCAACAAATCAAATCAATCACACCAAATTACGGGGGAAATGGCGGTATCAAGAACTGTTTCAAGACCTTTTTGCACAGTATAAGGAAAGACTGGAAAGGACAAAGTTGATGGTATTAGAGATGTCATCCGGAGACTACCTCTTCCTTGTCGACGACAGCAAGACTAGCGCGGCGCCGATGACCTTCGACGGTAGAGACTGAAGGAGGAGGGCGCGTGCGCAGACGCCAGGGTAGAGCTAGGGCTTCCAATGAATTTTGGGAAGGGAGCGCCTTTCACTTGTCCGATGAGTTTTGCCGCCTTGTATCAAACGCCAGCGTATTATAAACACTAACAATGGAAACACATTTCTCTGTTAAAATATCTTTTTATTATATATAAAATGGGTTGTATTTTATTCTCTATCATTTTAAATTTAAAAATTTAATGTTTTTCATTTTTTAATAGTTTAGCAACTTAAAATATAACTGAAAAATTAATACTGATATTCGAGATTTTAAATCTTCAAGTTAACAAATAAATTATGATAAAACAAAATCATATTAAAAGAAATCATCTTTTTTGATACAAGTACAAGAAATATGGATCTTTTTAATAAATGATATCATAAATACATAATTTAATTGAAAATTATACTAGTTTGCAAAAAAAAAAACATGTCTTTTGTACTATTGTTAAAAGCTATTAATATTTATTTTTAAAATTTTTATATATCTCAAATATTTATGTATAAAAAAAAATTAAAAATAGTCTGTTTTTGTCTTAAACAATTCACATGAATTATTTGATATTTCATAATTTAAAATTTCTGAGTACCGGGTTACAGTCGAATGGCGAGCCTTCCGGTTCTTTCGCTGGCAGATTTTCCAATGATCAAAGCTCCTGGGCGGCACTCGGCGGAGGAAGCTGATTTACTGCAACGTTCTAAGAAGAAGATTAAATCTAATGCTGGAAGCGAAGGGGATGATGAAGGAAGATAGAGATCTTTCTCTGAAATGCTTAAAGGCACTGGTGCGAACACGGAGGTAGAGAATAGAAGACTGAATATGGAAGACGATGGAGTCCCGTTTGGCTCCAGAAAGGTAGGTTCGCTGTTCCGGAATTCGTCTTTTCGAATGAAGCCCAGCAGAAAATCAGAAAACCTTTTAAGTTGAGCTTAATTGTTAAGCTCTTAGGCAGGAAATTGGGATTAGTTAGGATGGAGCAAAGAATTCAAAAAATGTGGGCTAGATCAGGGGTGGTTTAGGTAGTTGATCTCTCAAATGATTTTTTTATTGTCAATTTTACATCTATTGAGGATTATGAACTGGCTCTTATAAGGGGACCATGGATGATTTCTGACTCGTATCTCATTGTGAGGGAATGGAAACCAAATTTTGACCCTAAAGTGGAGGCAATTGAAGAAGTGTTGATTTGGGTTAGGTTTCCGGACTTGCCCCTGGAGTATTATGATGAGGGTATCCTAGAAGCTATGGGGAATGAGATTGGAAGTACAGTTAAGGTGGATATGTCGACATCTATGCAAACTAGAGGGGGATATGCAAGAGTGGGAGTGCAAGTGGACCTGAGGAAGCCTCTCCTTCCCTTGTATATCATTGATAAGAAGGAAAGACCCATAGTTTATGAAGGGCTTCACCTCTTATGCTTTTGCTGTGGTATGTATAAACACATTGAGAAGGAATGTAGTGAGAAGAAGTATGGTTTTAGAGAAGAGGGGCAAGCTAATCCTGAAGTCCCAAGTGAAAGGGAGGAATATGTTTTTGGTGAATGGTCTAAGGTACAGAATAATAGGAGTCTGCACAGGTTTAACCAAGGCAACAGAAAGGAAGAAGTATCAAGAGGGGGTCAGAATGGTTCAGGCTCAAGATTCAGGAACCTAGCGAATGTGACTGAAGTAGAAATTCATGGGAATGAACTGATGGTGGAAGACACAAGGCCAACAGAGGTTGTACAGGAGAAGATATGGTATAAGAGGAAATCTATGGAAAACTCCAAAGCAAATAATAATGAATCACAAGTGAGCTTACCTGTGGTGTATGAGAACAGGGAAGTCGTGAAGTGCAGCTCCAAGTCTAACAAGCAAGGTAGCATGAAGGGGAGACACAGGACTGTAAATGAGGACACTATTGTAGTGCGCAACAATGGTACTATGATTGTGGACTCTAATAGAGGCTGTTTGAAGGAATTGGATGTTAATGTTGTCCAAGAAACCCCAGAAATTGCAAAAGAAATCCTATGATTCAAAGATGGAAATGAAGGAAGACCCCTTGATTTTGGAGGGGTAGAAGAGAATGAGGTCAGTGGTAGTGGGATGGAGGATGCAGAGAGGCAGTGGAATAGTGCTGTGATGAGCATAGATTAATTGCTGATTTGGCCCCCCCTCTTATTTCTCTTTTACCCATGAACTATGATCATCAGTTTTTGGTGTGGAACTGTGGAGGTGCTAGTAGCAGGAGGTTTGAGAGAAGTTTAAAGTTGCTAGTGCAGGAAAGGCGACCGGTTTTGGTGGGTCTTTTGGAGACTAGAGTTAGTCATACCAGGGAAGAGGAAGTGTTCCGTAAAATAGGGTTAACCAACTTTGTGGCTGTGCCAGGATCAGGATTTTTTGGTGGTATTTGGGTGGCTTGGAGAGATGATGAGCTGAAGTTTTCAGTGCTAAAAGAAAATGTGCAATATGTACATTTGGCAGTAAAGGGGCCGAGTAATTTGGAGTGGGTGGTTACTATTGCCTATGTTGGGCCAAGGGAAAGAGATAAATGTTTGTTCTGGGAAGAAATGTTTCAATTTACTTTAGTTTCTACGAGCCCTTGGTTTCTCTTGGGGGACTTTAACGATATTAGAGACCAAGGGGAAAAGAAGGGAGAAGCGCCTATTCTGTTAAGGAGATGTGAGTTGTTCAATGAAAGAATTAATAGGTGCAGCTTGATGGATGTCGGTACTTGGGGAAATAGATTCACCTGGAAGGGGCCGATTCTGCAGGGTTATGAGAGAATTTTTGAGAGGCTGGATAGGGGTATGTGTAATGTAAATTGGAGATGCTCCTTTCCAAATGCGATGATAAAAGTTTTGACTAGAATAGGGTGTTCTGACCATAATCCTCTGTTGCTTTGTTTGGGAGAGAGAAATAAGCCTAGTGGCGAACGCCCTTTCAGATTTGAAGCGGCATGGTTGCTTCACAATAACTTTGAGGAAATGTTGCAGAAGAACTGGAATGGGGAAGGTAAATTTAATGGACGACTTAATAATTTGCATGATAGTCTTATTTCTTGGAACCGTGAAGTGTTCAAAAGTATTCATAAAAGAAAGAAGCTTTTGATTGCAAGACTAGATGGAATCCAAAAGAAAATCAGCAATTGCAATAGACCCATCCCTTCCTTAATCAAACTGGAGGATAATTTGCAGAAAGAACTTGAAGATGTGCTGAGTCAAGAAGAGATACTGTGGTACCAGAAATCTAGAAGAGAGTGGATTAACAATGGAGATAGAAACACTAAGTTCTATCATGTTCGAACTCTTGCTCGGAGAAGGAGAAATAAGGTAGCTATGCTAAAAAGGGATGGAGAAATTTGGGTAGAGGATCAAGAAGAATTTAAAAAAAATGGCTAAGGATCTCTTTATAAAGTTATTTACTGAAGAAAAGAATTCTGATCAGCAAGATTTAGGGGTGACTAAGAACCTGATGATCACCTTTTCCACTTTACCATCAGAGATGGATAGAGACATTGTGGATGAGGAAGTGAGGGATGCCATGTTTTCAATTGGAGCCTTTAAAGCCCTCGGTGAAGATGGTTTCCCTGCTATTTTTTTCCAAAGAGAATGGGAGTTTATAGGCCTTGATGTGAGTGAGTTTATGAAGAAACTCTGGCGAAATGAGGAAGATTTGCAAGAAGTGAATAAGACTTTGCTAGTGTTAATTCCTAAGGTAGAAAGGCCTGATTCCTTAAAGCAAATGAGACCTATTGGCCTATGCAATGTTGTTTACAAATGTGTTTCTAAAATTATTGTTAAAAGGATGAAACAGATTCTTAATAGGGTTGTATCTCCTAATCAAGCTAGTTTTGTGCTAGGTAGACAGATTCAAGACAATATTGTTGTTGCCTAAGAGATTATTCATTCTATGAAACTCTTGAAGGGAAAGGTTGGCTATTTTGCTATTAAAATTGATTTGGAAAAAGCCTATGATAGGCTAAGGTGGAGTTTTATTGAGGAAGTCTTGGGTGAGTTGGGCTTAGCTGAGGGGTTCAAGAAGTTTTTAATGAGGTCTATTACCTCTGTCTCTATGCAAGTGATATGGAATGGTGAGAAGACTGAAGATTTTAACCCCTCTAGAGGGATTCAACAAGGAGACCCCTTGTCCCCCTATATTTTCGTTCTTGCTATGGAAAAATTCAAGGGGCTAAGGAAGGAGGGCGATGGCGAGCCTTTAAGGTGGGAAGAAATGACCCTGAGATTTCTCATCTAATGTTTGCTGATGACCTAATGTTGTTTAGGGAAGCTTCAGAAGAACAAATGAGGTTAACTATGAAGTGTCTGGAGCATTTCTGTGATATTTTTGGACAAAAGGTTAATACTGGTAAGTTAGCACTCCTTTTCTCCAAGAATGTCTCGCCTGAGACTAGGAGGAAACTGGTTGATCTCTTTGGTTTTGTCGAAACAGATGAATTAGGAAATTACTTGGGTATTCCACTCAGTAATACAGGGGGGAAATTGAAGAATTATGGCTATGTATTAGACAAGGTCAAGAGAAGATTAGCTAATTGGAAGGTTAATTGCTTAAGTATGGCTGGCAGAATTACCCTAGCAAAGTCTGTCATGGGAGCGATTCCTATTTACCCAATGATGGTGACCTTGTTACCTAAAGGTCTTCTAGAGGAGGTGGAGCGGGTGCAACAGAATTTTATATGGGGCCATAAGGAGGAAACCCGTAAGGTGCACCTAGTTGGGTGGGATACTATTAAGAAACCAAGGAGGAATGGAGGACTAAGGGTGTTGAGCCTAACTGAGATGAACCAGGCTTGTTTACTAAAGATGGCATGGAAGCTGAGGAATAAGTCCTGTGGTCTCTGGGCAGAAGTTTTGAAATGGAAGTATGATTCTGGTAATGAGCTCTCTTCAATCCTTTATATTCCAAAGGTTGCCTCTCCTCTATGGAGAGATATTGGTGTGGTATGGGAGGTGTTAAATGCTTACTCTTGGAAGGGGATTGTTGATGGTAAAGATACTTCTTTTTGGCTTGAACCCTGGGTGGATAAGGATACTTATCAACTCCTGTGTGAAAGAGGTCGATGATGGGTGTTTGGAAAGCTCGGTTGTCGATATGGTAAATTTTGACGGGAGTTGGGACTGGAGAAGGCTTCAGGCTCTTCTAAATAAAGAGGCTCTAGAAAAACTACGTGATTTTCATCCTCCATATGGCGTAGGCTCTGATGTGGTTCTGTGGAAAGGCAGCAAGGTGTTAGAAGCAATCTCACCCAAGAGGGGGGTGAATTGGGTGAGTAAAAAAAATTGCTAAATTAATACGAGACAATATCAGAAACAGAGAGTTAGAGTTAAGAGGGATGTCACCGCAGAAGGGAAGACACAGGATTTATACTGGTTCGGTCTTAACCACTTGACCTACGTCCAGTCCTCAGAACACCTCTGAGTATTTCACTATCTTCCAAGATTGATCGGGCTCTTGGTGCCTCAGTACAGTAATTGAATCACTCAATCACTCCCCCTTACTCCCGTAAGGATATAACCCCACTAAAGAGTCCACACTCTTGAGTATCACTCAATAGTGATTAATAAAGGATAGAAATCGACTCTCTTATAGAGTGAAATTTAATGATGAACACTGACGCTCAGTAGTATTGAAGAAACAGAGTATTGAATGCTAGACTTACTAATCACAGATGGTAGCTCCGGTATTCAATCCCCTCATTAATGCTTCTTCGCGTCTTTTATAGTTGAGATCGTTAAGTAACCGTTAGATGGAAGAGCTTCTAGCTGTTGTGACTCCGTTTGCGTGTTTAGCCAGTTCCAACGATTCCGCCATTAATGCGTCTGAGCTTTCTGACACTGTAGGTTATAGGTTACGTAATCCCGTTGAAGAGCCGTTGTAATTTCTCTTAGTAATCTGCATCCATATTTTAAACTTAAATAAGTAAGAATAAAACGGTGTAAGCTTTAGTCATGGATCAGGAGGAATAACTAATTGATTACTCAATGATTCTAGATAGAATGAATCATCTGTAAAAGGTGCAGAAAGATATTCTGGACATGGTTGATCGAAGTGGTGATCGATTACTGATTGATCGATTTGGTTATCGAAAAACAGAGAGAGAAATTTTCGATTAGTAGAAGAAGTTTATCGATCAGATGATGGAACAATGGTTTATCGATCAAGTGATCGATAAAGTGCAACAGGAAATCTTAGGTTGATATGCAAATCAGAGTTCCTTTGAATATACACCACTTGGTAAAGTAATCATGAAGATTATGCAAGCTAAAAAACAGTTTGGAAGTAAGTAGACAAGAGAGTATGAGAGATGTTATAGCTTGCTGAATTTAAGCTGACAGAAGTCAATGATCGATTAGTTTATCGAGTAAAGGTAGATCGATCAATTTATCGATAATTCAAGTGTTATAGAATTGAAGCTTTAGTACATGTTGATCGAACACATTATCGATAAGGTTGTGATCGATAACGTTATGGATAAGAGTCAAATGTAAAAACCTTTAGTGAGAAACAAGGATACCAAGAATTATCGAATAGGTGATCGATCAAGACATGTTCGATCAAATTATCGATAAACGGTGAAATGAAAAGTTTGTTCTAAAGCTGTTTATCGATCATGTTATCTGAAAAAAATGTTAAGTAGGAAAGCTTAATTATCGATAAGGTTATCGATAATTTAGTTCTAGGAAAAACTAAGTAAAAGCAACTGGCATACAGATTATCGATCATGTTATCGATAATTTGGTGATTGATAAAGTTATCGATCAATAGTCTATAATCAATACCTGCATTTCAGAAGGTTAGAGGTCAATGTTTGATCATATTATCGATAAAAAAATGATCGACAATGTGATCAATAAACAATGACAGAATCAATATCAAAACAGGTAGAGTGTCTTACCATTTATCGATGTCGTTATCGATAACTCATTTATCGATCACTTGATCGATAAGATTAGTTCAGATTCACTTCTTTTTATCTGTCACTTTGTTACCTTATATGAATTTTAAGTTAGCGATGATCAATCATTTTATCGATCAATGAATTATCGAACAGCTCATCGATTAAAATACTTAACATAAATCTGATTTATACTGAACAGTTATCTGACAGCTTATCGATAATCATTTGATTGATCAGTTGATCGATCAACACACTTAACCAATTTAATCTAACTTTGTTATCATCAAAACCATAATCCTAACACAAGGGTTCATATATGGTGAAGGAAGGGTATAATAAACTAAGAAGTGACAATTGTGGAATTCGGAATAAATTGTGGGAGCTAATTTGGAAGTAGAATGGGCCAGAAAGGATTCGTTGTTTCCTATGGCTTGTGGCTCATGACAGTCTGCATACAAATGCACTGAGATTCAAGAGATGGGGAGCTGAAGGAGCATGTGAGGATTGTGGAAGTTTTGAAACTACTTTACATGCTGTCAGGAATTGCAGGAGGGCTAGTGCAGTTTGGCTAGAAATCTCTAATGACAGTCATATCCAGTCCAATTTTTTCTTTGATCCCCTCATACAATGGCTAATTTCTAACCTTAGTGATAGAAGGAAGGTTAGAGACATACCTTGGTGTATTATCTTCGGTGTCACCACTTGGATTTTGTGGAAGCAAAGGAATGAATTTGTGTTCCAGACTTCACAAAAAATAGGCGGGGCTCTCGTTCATAGAATTTGGTTTCTTGCAGACGAATTTATGAATGCTAAAGGTCTAGTTGTGAAGTCGAATATCAAGACTTTGACTGTTCAAAAGTCGCGGTCTGCTCCAGATTTGGGGTGGATTAAGATCAATTCAGACGATGCTTGTTGTGGTGATCTGGGCTTCGTGAGTTGTGGAGGTGTCCTACGAAATGAGGACGGTGAGTGGATTTGTGGTTTTGCCCAAAGACTTGGCTTTTGTGGCGTGATAGAAGCAGAAAGTTGGGGGATTTTGAAAGGGCTTACCTTGGCTTGGAATAGAGGCTTTCGTAAGATCATCATGGAAACTGACTCTGAAATTTTGGCTAAGCGATTGAAGGGCAAAGAAACTGCTGGTTTCGTTGATGGGGTCCAAAGAGGAATATTGGAGCTCTTGGAACGTGACTGGACTATGAGGATCTGTAAGATTGGGAGAGATCTGAACATTTGTGCTGATGCTTTGGCGAAATGGGGCTTGAAATCCGACAATGTAAGCAAAATCTGGGAAGAAGTTCCAGAGTGGTTGCGTGTTCAATTCGAGAAAGACAAAGGAAGTTTGCTGACTTTGACTCACGGGATTGATGAACGCTAGATGTTTTTGTTCCTTTGGGCCTTAGGCCTCTTTCTTTCACTAAAAAAAAAAAATTCTGAATACCATCCAAGCAGAATTATTTTTATTTAAATTGTGGATATTTTAATTTGTTTTTATTTGCATATAACAAAAGAAAAGTTGCGCTCGAGGATTATAAATACAGGTGCTCAAAATTTTTTTTCCTTGCTAATTAAGTATTCAAACAAGGACTTTTAACCAAATTTTCCTTGAATATATGTGTACACGCATTATGAATTATAATATTTTTTCTTAAAACTTAAAATAATATATTAGACATATAATTTCATTTGGAATATTTTTCAATTTTTAAAATATTTTTAAATTATTATACTTAATTCGTCATTTACCATCACCTGGACCTAATTTTTATGTTCTTATTGTACATATGGGGGGTACCGTAGATGGTTAAAAAGAATACACACACATATATTAATCTGATACTTTTTTCTCTATCATATTTATAAGTAAATTCATTAATTTTTAATTTGAATGTATGGTTTTACCTTTTATTTATTATTATATATTAAATTATTAATTCTCTTAAGAAGTTTATATATTAAATATGAATAAAATTATAAAGTTGTTAAATTTTAAGGTGGAATTAACTATATTTAAAATTTCTATTGATTCCCTTGACAAATTTCTTATTTAATTTTTATTCAAAAGAGAGAAATATATAAGAGAGATGATTATAACTTGCAAGAAAAAACCGTTCTTGAGCTACCTATAATTTTCTTCAATTTTTTAATTCTGTACATGTGTAATCTTTTCTTTATTAAATATTTTAATTTTATTCTTTTAGCATTATTAATTTCTATAACTTTGCCCTGTTGATATTGTTATACTATGTAAGAAAACTAATTATGTTATCAATGTAAAATTAAATGATTTGATATGAAAAGAAAAACTCACAAATACCAAATTTAAAATTGAAAATTATTATCGGAGAAAAAATTTTAAGGAGTGTAGATTTAAAAATTTAATCAATTTAGTACACTTATTAGTATGTGAGAATAAGTTACAAGTAATTTATAATAAGAAGAATCATTTGAGTGGTTCATTAATTATCCGGTACCTGTGCTGTTTTGCCTTGCTTCATTTATGTGAGTAAAGGGAGAGTTGCAATCAAGTCTGAAAGAAGAGATTTAAGTACTCTAAAATCAATGACAACTAAAACGTAAGCAATAATAAATTTTAGTATAGGAAATGACAACTTATTTATATTGCTCATTTATCATTGGGACATTTTGATAATTAAATTCTTTCCTTGAGATCTTATGATAATTCTCCCTATGAGTAAATGCGTATGAATTGAGCGTGGACAGTTGGTAATTCTCCCTCAATAATGAGTTATCAACCAATGAATCTTGCCTGAGGTGTGGAACCAATGTTAAGACTGAGGGTGTTTGGTATAATCACAGTCTTGAGGACTTGCTACAAAATAGAATTAGGCACGAAAGGAAAAGTTTGATAATTGCCGTGTATTGCCTCTAAGGATTGTAGTCCTATATAAACAGAAAAACTGTACAGCACTCCTCTAATCAGGAGGTGACAACACAAAAGCAGAAATATACAATCGTACAATGCGGATAGGAAAGAAAGAATTACAAAGAATTAATTAAATACAATTGGAATATTCTATAATGAAGAATCAGGTAGGGGTCATTGGTTCCTTGTGAGCTTTGGTCTTGGGCTTGCATTGTGACACAACATGACGGAACCTTTGGGCTTTGTCTTGTATTGTATCATCCCCTTCAAATGAGAGGGTA